AGGAATATTAGCTCCTTCGGCATCTTATCTGTATCATATAGGAAGTTCCTCAGTCTTTCCTTCATCTGCAAGCTCCGCTCGTACTGATCCATTGTACCATTTTCAGAATTGCCCCTCCTGTCTTCATCCCTTGTCGTCCCGAAGCTCACTGGTCGCATTAAAGTTGCACTTGCGAAGAGGTCCGGAGCTCCTATTCCCCAAGACGTTGTGATGGCCTTTACTGTATCCCAGTCCGTGGCAAGCAGGGCCCTCCACAGCTCAGCATATTTCCGTCTGAATTCTTCTCCTACTTTGACATACAAGCCGTGGTCCAGTAAGACGAGCTGGGGGTCCATCTGGCGTTGAGGATGTGGGCGAATAATAATGTTTCCCGGATGGGGATCACAGTGCACCCAACCCCAGCTGAACATCTGCGCGCTGAACAACTCAACCATCGTCTGCATGATCGTGCGGAATCCACCCCTTAACTGTATCCCTTCAAGCGACAGATGCGAAGAATGCGGCTCAATGCTCTTGTCCTCACCCATGAGCTTTCGAATTCCTGGGCGATCACTGAGGCGAACGCCGTCCACCCATTCGGCAGTGAGCACTCTCCTAGTAGAGTACTCTGTGTAAACTTTTGGTATATGAACCTTTCCGCTAAGCCGTGGCTCCTTAGCAACAAACTCGGCTGTTGTGATGGCATTTCTTGCTTCCTGCAGGAAGTCGAGTTCCTGGCGAAGATGGCTGGAGATGAAATCTGCGACATCCCAACGGATATCATCCGTCATATGAGCATTTGGATTTCGGAACAGACGAGAAACGCACACACCAACAGCAAAATAGACGGGCATGTCAAACCAACTTTCAAACATCCACATCACTATGCGAAAAGCACCCAAGTCCCACTCGACTTGTTTGCTTACATCTGGCTTCTGGATTTTGACTGCAACCCATTCACCAGATTTAAGCCTCGCACGGTGGACCTGGGCTATACTCGCGCTAGCGACAGCTTGTTCCTCAAACTCCGCAAAGACACCGTCAGGACCAACTGGCAAACGACCAAATTCTGACTGGAATACAGAGAGGATGGATGAATAAGGAATCTGCGGCGCGTCGTCGAATAAGCGGCTAAACCTATCCTGCATGGGGCGGGGCATCAGAGCCGCATTTGCACCAATGGCCTGGCCTAGAATGCACATTTCTATCAGGAAAAGGAGACAGCTTGCCTGATGGAAGATGCTGACCTAACTTAATGTAAAGGCCGCCATTGGATGTGAGTAGGTTGTATATTCTGTCTGCAACTCTCTCATGAAGCTGCGGTATTTGATGTGCCTTCTCTGGCTGGAAGTTGAGTTTGTAGTCCAGGGAAACGAAGGTACACTGAGAAAGAATCAGTAATTGACAAATTGGACGGAGTCATTGTGGAGCATAGAAGCTCCACCATGATGCAAAATCGAACGCGCACAGGGAACCTGCTGCAAGAAAACGTGCCACGAACTAACGAAGGTCCCAAAGCCATTACTCACTGTTCATAATGTCCGTATGTTTCGCGCTACGGCGGAAGCATTAAGCTGTTTGTCGGCGAACCACAGCACACCGAGCCCTGCCACGGCCAGCGCTGTTCGCTGGCTATGGTGGAATAATCGTGAACAGCGCGAGGTTGGACTTGAGAGGAACAGATGGCGCCGGTGAACGCGCACCGGCGACCTCACTAAACAGGAAAACATGATAGGCATGACAGGTGATTCTAAGTGGCCAGCATCTATTTGGATTCCGAACAGGTCAGAATTCCATGTTTCAGAATAGACGCTTCCAAATTCCGTCTCGCTTTTTTTTAAAAAAATACCTCTTGAATTTGACATGCTGCATAGATTACCTAAGAATGACTGCGGTAAATATGTAATATATTAAGTTGGGCCGACGTGATTCGCTCCCTTCCCCCAGCAATCTCCTGCTGTCCTCGAATGGTACCAACTCCCCTGCATTCCCCCCGTTCATCCCGCCTTATCGTTCCTCTGTTCTCTGTTCTGTTCCAACATGTGCCCAACCTTGCTCGTAGATTTCGTGGTGCCAATGGCGAGCCCACGCTTCTCCACACTTACGCAAAGCGTGCCAGCAGTCAACCTCATAGCACGGAGTACATCATCTTCGCTTGCCTCATTCCCGTCCTCGTCCTCTTGTCTGGTGTATTTGCCGGATTGACCTTGGGCTACATGAGCTTGGATGAAACCCAGCTCAACGTGCTAAGTATGAGTGGCACCCCGTTAGTATCAATTTAGGCTATTTCGTCACCACGCTTTGTGCTTAGTTTCGTCCCTTATATAGACAGCAGAAACGTTACGCCAATAGGATCAAGCCCATCCGCAAGAATGGCCACCTGCTCTTGGTAACCCTCTTGTTGGCGAACATGATCGTGAACGAGACCCTTCCCATCATATCCGACCCTGTCCTTGGTGGGGGTGTGCAAAGCGTTGTCGTCAGCACGGTCCTCATAGTCATGTGAGTCTTTCCTTCAGTGTGTGTATCCAGCATTAGGAACGTTTCGTGATGTCACGACTCATCTCCCTTGCCACGTACCGCATCTGGTTCGCTCGTGATTGGACAACTATCTAACTTGATCTCGTTCCCTCACAGATTCTCCGAGATCATCCCGCAGTCTTTATGCACTCGCCATGGCCTTTACTTGGGTGCCAAAATGGCTGGCTTCACACAGGCTCTGATATACCTCTTGGTGAGTTGAGTAGTCATCCTAACAAGATATCCAAGTTAATTCTGTCACAGGGAATAGTAGCTTGGCCAGTCGCGAAATTATTGGAATATATCCTTGGTCCTCACCATGGAATCATATACCGAAGAGCAGGTCGGGCCCATGCTTCTAATCCTTATTGGTGCTTACTGATCTATACAAACCCAGAACTCAAAGAATTGATTGCGATGCACTCCTCCATCTCTTCGCTCGGAGGTGACCTAAAGACGGATACAGTTACCATCATCGGTGCGACGCTTGACTTGCAAGAAAAGGTCGTCAAACAGGTACATCTTCCGCGGGTCCTGATTGCCTTTGATCTGTTGCAATCTGACGGATACTTTGCAACTAGGCAATGACTCCAATCGAAGATGTCTTTATGCTTTCTATAGATTCCAGGCTGGACTACGATTTACTGAAGAAGATATGCCTCACGGGTCATAGCCGTGTACCAGTCTACGAGGAAGTTGATGTTCCCTTGGATTCCTCTGGTCGTACCGAGAAGGTCAAGAAGATCATCGGCATCCTTCTAGTCAAGCATGTAAGATCAAAGAATTTCCATTTCATCACACATACTCAGTGCCCGTCGTATGATAGTGTGTATTGTTGGACCCCGGAGGTTCGTTGCGATGATTGGGTGGTGAACAGCTTTTCTGACTGCGATGTAGATTCCATTCCTTTGCGCAAATTGCCTCTAAACAAGGTCCCTTTCGTTCCCAACAATGAGTCGTTACTTGGTATTCTTGATAAATTCCAGGAAGGTCGCTCTCACATGGCCATCGTTTCTCGTTTGAGTGAGGAAAAGGCTGCGTCCGTCAAGAAGGTTGCTAAGCGTTCCCTCACGCAACGTCTTCGCGAGCGTGTGGGTATAGGGGATTCTAGTGATTCTAGCGACGAAGAGAACGACTCGAAGGAGAGGACGGAACGCAAGAAATCAAAAGTTATTTCGTGGGCAGATGATTCTACCGCTGATAAGGACGAGGACAGTACTGGAGAGAAGCCGAAGCGTGGCTGGAGGAAGCATAGCAAATCAATGGGGAACGATCAGCATGACATAGAGATGGGCCCGTCGGACGAGCGTGAGGAGAAGGAAAAACAGAAACTTAGATTGCCTCGGGCTTCGCTTGCACTCGAACAGACTATGCCTGCTGACGCTGTATTGACAAAAAAGGATGCCGAGGACTTCCTGCAGATTATCGATCCGGCTATCAACCCGCTTGGAATTATTACGCTGGAAGACGTTCTAGAAGGTTGGTTCATTGTGGCCGATAATCTGCCGTACTGATAGTCCTGACCTTACAGAGCTTATTGGTGAAGAGATCTACGATGAATTCGATCCCAAAGGTGCGGGTGGTATGGTTTCGTCGTATGTCCCAACAGAATTGTCCCTCACGAAGATGGACGTCCGTTCCGAGTCAACACCCGATCTCCCAGCGGCAGTAGCTGATAATTCTTCGTCTTCTCGAACACCCAAGTCGACTGCAGGCACGCCCGTGTTACGACCACTCACCATCAAAGGACTCGGTTTCTTTCGTTCCAAGAGCGCTCCGCCCAGTCCTCGCGACAACAACAGAAATCCTTCAGCTGCCTTCCGTTCCAGGAAGGACACTCTGACAACCGTTAAAGACCATCACGAATCTGACACCCGAGATTCATTTTCGTTCGCAGACCGTATGGATACCACTTCCGAAACAACCAAAATCGAAAAGGACGAAGCCCCTTCGCATGCAACTGCGATTGTCCCACCTTCAGACGTCCCTCGTGAAGCACGGTTTTCGAAGAAGAACTTACATGATAGTACGGGCTCGCCAATCCACAATGCGGTTGGCTCCACTACGCCGAAGATAACATCACCCTCATCGTCGCTCGAGGCCTTCCTGTTGGAAAGGAAGCGTCGTATTATCGCTTCTGGCAAGGATACCGGCTCTTCCGCTGCGTCCTCTAAAGGCGACGGCCGACCTGCGACACCTGGTACCAAAGGCGGTAGCAAATTCAAGAGCAGTCCACTTGGAGGCAGAGAACGTACGGGTATTGTAGTTGCGGAGAAGATCAAGCAAGATATGAAAGATCAGGAGTGACGCATCACGGACCGAGACGACGAAGGATTTGTACACTGCAGATAATGCTTTACTAGTCGAGACTGAAGTGTTATAGTTGCGTTTCCAAAGCTAGTTCTTCATTCCCTTACATTGTGTCCCGGCCTCGTAGTATGTCCCTGATATGTAGCTGTGAATAATTTCGAGAACTCTTGCTTTGCAAGAAAAAGAGAGAATCCGACCTGCCTGGTTCGAACAGGCGACCTCAAGATGATCGGTTTTTCCCATTACAGTCTCGCGCTCTTCCAACTGAGCTAAGGTCGGTATATTTGTCATTCTTACAAGATTGCTCCATAACCATCACCACGCCATCGACCACATACAGTCCCTCGCCGCGAACACGGGCGGTAGCGTCAGTAATGGCCTTCCTGCAAAAACGAGGTATACTGGCCAAGTTTTTCGCTGTCGCAACTGTGTTGGTCCTCGCACGCTCGCTCTTCTTTCCCCAGGACCCTGCGCCGTCGTCCGCTGCACAATACAGAGGTTATAATGTCCTCGAACGTGTGACTGGCGTGGACAGGAGCCTAAATGTGCAGAAACACAAGTTTTTGCAGGCACGGGTGGGGAGGGATGAGAGACCTGATATTTTTGACGACTTGGTAGCCGACGGCGTTCGCGACTACTGGAATCGCTTCCAGTTTCCGATGTGAGTGTCGGTCCATGTCGACGTGGCAGTTTCAGATTTGACCCGTAGCGCATTCCCAGCATGATCGGCAAGGACACCGCCCACGGAGATGCACAGAATGTCCTTGGTGCCGTTGAAAATCTTCTTTCTCTCAATGGCTGGGTCGCTGCTTATTGTCCAACCCTGATTCGACCATTTGGCCAGAATAAGGAGGTTGATGATGATGCATACGACGACCTAGCTAAGGAAGACCGTTTGTACTATATCGCTCTTGCCATTCACTCGGCCGACCACTTCTTACTTGACCAGCTGGCTGTAATAGTCCAGCTGGCGAAACGCTTGGGGACCTCAAACTTGTTCGTTTCCATGCTGGATTACGGTTCAACAGACTCGACGGCAACGCTCACAGACCTTTGTGAAGCTGTTTTGACCCTCCTTGGCGTTCCGTTCAGAATTCGCCGTGTGCCCGGGATGACAGAAGACCCAGCAGCGGCATACTACCCTCAGGAGGAAGCATACATGCGCAACCTCGCCCTAGAGCCACTCCTCGAGCTCCACAGCAAGCGCCAAATTGCCTTTTATCGCGTCATATGGTTGAAAGGGTTCACGTGTCCAAACGACATTTTGGAGACGCTTCGGGTCAGCGTTGCCAACGAGGCTGCTATGGTCTGTGGTATGGACTGGGCCGAATCCAATGGTCAGTTCACCTTCTCGGACAGGTAAGAACCACCTGGCCTTGGCACCACTTTCCTAATAATCCTTTGTCCTTGCGTTAGGTGGCGCACGCGAGATATCCATGGGGACCAATTCCGGCATTCGAGATCATCCTCCAGACCTGACGCCGTTCCTCCCCGGGACAAGAATGGTGCTTCTCGCTATGTTCAACATCTACCTTTCCAGGTCTTTTGCTGTGAAGCTGGGACTCATATCGTGGACCCTGCTCAGTCGTACTATAAGGGCTTGAAGTATCGTTACGGAACGGACTTCCACAACGTATCGTCCTCCGAACCCGCTTCTGTCAGGCCACCAGATGCGCCGTGCTTAGACAGCTGTCAAGCGTGGTTCTGCAGAGACCTCTGGCTCAGCAAGGCCCTCGAGGGCGTGCACGAGGAGGAGTATATCGATCCTTCACAGCGGCATAGGCAAGCTAGCCCAGGATCTGGTCGGAAACGTCGTCAAGTTATTCCCATGGACCCGGACGTCAATGCTGGCTCAGACTTCGATGCTATGCCAGATTCAGACTCACCTATGGAGGCACAACCATCCGGCCGATTGACCGTTCCAAATTCAGCATATAGGCCAGCTCGCATACTGGTCAACCCTCGTTGCGTTACAACCTACGCGGGTGTGAGCCACACACAATTAGCCCTGGATCTATTTGGCAGTGGGGAAGACGACAACCGGGTCAACACAACCAAGAATATATTGGACGATTGGGAAGGTGCACCAGAGACGTTCGTTTGTCAGGAACAACTGTGAGAGCAGGTTCTATTCTGCCTTCTTAATAGAGCTGACAGATCTTGTTGATTTCCTTTAGTCAAACTGGTGGACGTGTCGCTGCCAAGACGCAACGATTACTTAGATTCTCCATTCACGACGAACTATTGGCAAAACATCCATAATTGCGTCGGATTACGGGCATGTAATATTATAACTTCTCTTAAATAGGTGACAAAGACATGTGCACAATCCCCCTATCGAACTCTCCGTTTCTTCCCAAATCCTTTGAAAGCAGCTTCCTCGTCGGAATCATCATCCGCGATGATGTGTCGCTTATTGCTTCGCACCCGGCCAGCATGGACACCCTGGCTCGAAGCCACCTTTCCTTGCGTGAACTTCCGTGAGCCTTTACCTTGCGCAGATTCCTCATCGGACTCCAGGAAAAGTCGCGCTGTCTGAGACTTCCCTTCCAGGGCAGCAGGTTGCTTCCTCGGCTTCTTTTCGACTGGTAATTCTTCAGAATCTTCGTCTTCGGACTCGAGAATCGTACGCGCACGTCTCTGTATCCCTGGCTGACTTGGCAATAAGGTGGAATCCTTGATAGCTGTACTATCCTTCCAGTAGCCTGACAAGTGTATGAGTTGGTTGTAGGGAATGTTTCAGAGTGTGAAAGTACCGAGTCCCACTCCGTAATCATCATCTGCTTTCATCACCAATTCAACAGGGTACCTCGATGAGGGCGTGGGCGTCTAGACCAAGTATCAGATGAAGTCGGCAGTCATTCTGTGTAGAGATGAACAGACCTTCTTGAACTTTTTGAAGTTCGGTTTGCCTTCATAGTCCCTCCGAACGGCAGTTATTTCACGGGAACGGGCATTTCCACAAATGTCCATCTCCACCACCACCATGAAGTTTCCCCTTATGTTCCTAACGTCGTCATCGAAGTCCCCTAGAACTGCCCAATCCTCTTCCTGTTCTCTGTGGATATCTGGTTTTGAGATACGTAGTTTGTTGAATTCACGATCAAAATCATCCTCTCCCTTCTTTCCCCTCTTTTTCGACGCCACTGCAGTCAAGAATGCTTGATCAGTATCTAGGTGCCCTGTAGATTTCTTTGGTTTGGATGGCGTCTGATCTTGTGAGGTGTCAACCCGACCCTTATCCACATCGCTGGTAACGACGAGTTCCCCAGATGTCTGACCTGTGGGTGGTTGTGTTCTTTGAGCGACAGCAAGTTGGTTAGGGACTGGCGCCGTCAGTAATGATTGGGAAAGAAGTTGTCTAGCATGAATGCTTTCTTCCTCTTCCTCTACGACTGCATCTAGCACTCGCATATGTGGAGTTATTCCACGGACGCCAAGAGATGCGCTTTGCGTCACGGTTCCAGTGTCCTGTGAACCACCCGTAGAGTTCCCCCCGTGCTTAGTTGCATCGAGATCGTTTGGGGCATCAGCAGACATCTTGTCCGGGTCACTTGCATCAAAAAGCGCTTTAAACTTTTTGAGGGGAGGCTCCCTTTCCGTCTCTTTCTCAGAAAGAATGGCATCCACCACGGAGACCGTCTCTGTCGTTGGAGTCGCCGCTCGTCTCTTCAACTTCGGACGGTTAGCGAAATGAGCCTTCGCGAGATGAGAGGTGACACAAAGCCGGAAACTTGGATGTACACACCGGCGGAATACTGGGTCCTACGTTGCCTGACGACCGTAGACCGGGCTTATTGGTCGGACTTTGGTCGCTGTTAGTCGATAGGGGTTTCACGGAACGAATAAGTTGCTTGATGGCAGATCAGAAAGATTTCTAGTGAACCTATTTTCTGTGCGTACCCTTCTGGACGGTGGAGGCTGCACTATAGTCTCTACAGTATGTTGTGGGGACCTTGATCTCAAGGCAGAAATCTCCGGTTCAGCTGGAGGTAGACTGGATTGGCGATTAGCCCTCGTCACGTCCTGCCGTGAAGGAACCAACCCAACGCACGGTTCGTCAGGATGCGTATCTGCATTGACGACTGACAGTGGAGAAGAGTCCTCTAATTGTGTTACACCAGAGTAGATGTCGTTAGAAAAGGAGGGCAGAATCAGAATGAATCCTTACGGCGTGGATTAGGAGCTCTCGGTAGGACCGAGACATCGATACTGATTACGGCGTTTAACAGGGCCTCGACAGCAACGATCGGGACGGACATACTGCATTAATATAGAATGGTAAGCACTAGAAGCGGCTTTCATGTCACACACCCACCTGTCAGCATCGGCAGCCATCTCTTGCCACTTGGTCGACCCAACAGTAGCCTGAATGGCTTTATCATCCGTAATGATGATGACCCTTATACCCACTTCTTCCATTTTCCGTTTGGCCTTTGCAAGCATTTGCCGCCATTTAGCATGCCCAGAGGTCAGAGGGAAGCCATCGTATTCTCCCCCGCCTCGCAAGCAAAGCTCTCTTGTATCGCCATCGACTTCACCATTCTTGTTGGCAAGCAAGACGAAGCGATATCCACTCAAGAAGTTCAGCCTCTCCTCGTTGGGTTCCCAGAACTTGAAGGATTTGAATGCGGAAGACAGCCCGGGTGAGAAAGTCGGTCGATACTTGCTCTCAAGTGGCAGTACGAAAGCCTGTTCAAGTGACGTGGATTTGAAAGAGTCCGTATCATCTTCCACTGTTCCGAGACGTATACATTCTTGCAACCACTCCGTTTTCACCAGTTGCACCGCTGAAAGTAGGGAAGTCGCCAGGGGAATCGTAAGCTCATACTTTGGAGTAACATGATGCGTCGCCAGAGCATGCGTCCTCGTTACCACGCTTATACCTATATCTATGTATGTGGTCCGTCACAGCAATAAAGACAGAAGGCGCACCGATAGAAGCACAATCTTGTCTTGGAATTGGGGGCAGGTTCCGCGCGGGGGGCAGAAAGCAAGCTATCCGCTTCCACTCCACTCTTGGCAGACATTCAATCAAAGAAAACGAGGAGAAGTAGCTGCACCTTACTGGATGGCAATTCCAGCTACGATATTAACCGTATCACCGCTTTGTAGTTCGTAAGGAGATAATGGATCCACGATGAAAGGATCCCCGCCTCGGTCGATGGACATGGCCTTCTCTTTGGCGTTATATATCTCAAGCCTCGGAACGAAACATGGATCTTCCTGGCGTTTTTGTGCTAACTATCGGACGAGACGTAAATCTCCAATAAGACGTT